TGGTGCCGACAGGGTCTTCGCAGAGCGCTGACTTGGGAGGTGGCGACCGCGCCAAAACTCGCGCAGTACGGGAGGCACCACGACTCGCGGAAGAACAAAACGTGAGAGGGATGAGACGCGAAGCACCCAGCCATGGGGGCAGCGAGCGCTCTGGCCCACGGCACGTCCATCCGACCCAGGCGAAGGCGCGATGGAGGGGGCTGGAGCCCGCGCGCCGCGCCGCAGCAGGTGCACTCCAATTTGGTCGGGCCGACGTGCACGCAGCGGGTGGGGACCGCCTGCGCGCGGCCGGGGTGAACGGGCCAGGCCGTCCGAGACGAGCGGCGGCACTGCGGCACGTCGGGCGGCCGCGACGGCCGCCTCTGCACGAGGGCAGCCCGCATCTCAAGATCCAGGAATGACCGCGCGACGTGGTCGGGGAGCTGCGCCCGCGCTGCCGCCTCACCAGCGAGGGCGTCCGCACCTCGTTGCCGAGGAGGAAGTGGAGCCAGGCCTCAACGCCCTCTTGGCGGACCGCCCAGCGTCAACGGCGGCCCTCGACCTCCGACCACTGCACCTCGCGCACAGGCCTGGCGAACTCAGCATCCACGAGCGCCCACAAGTCCACATTGGACTGGGCTGGCAGAGCGCGACGAGCCGCGCCAGAAGCCCCGCTCCACGCACGAGCTTTCCGCGACGAAGTGGGCGAGCCGCGCAGCCTGGCTGTCCTCCAGGAAGGCGAGGAAGGCGCGCAGCTCGCCGCGGTTGACTGTCTGCCTCAGCCCCGCCAGAGCGCGTGACACCCCTGGAAAGGCCCACTGCGCGCTCGGGATCCGCCAGTGTGAGGTCGGCGACAGCGGCAAAATTCAGCCGCGCGAAACCACACCCCACGGGCTGGAGTGCGGGGATGGCTTAACTCGCACCTGCAGAAGCTTTTTCAAGGCGAATACCACCGCGCGACCAGGGATACAGACGCGGCCGTCAGCCTGCACGTTGTCTTCCGTGTCGGGCGCCTATGCAATGTCGACCCGCGCCCACGAGGTCGAGCCCGCGGTGCCAGAAGCATGGTTTCTCGCGCACACCTTGTTCCATGCCCGCAAGTGTTCGAACTTCAAACGCGCGGCCAACCCGTGGTGGGCGGGGCAATCCCAGCAGCGATGCCAATCGGTCTCGACCGCGCCCACGTCACAATGCTGGCACAAGGGGAATGAACACGCCTGCCCAGCGTCCAGCATCCGCGACGCGACCGCGCGCCCTTGAGCCAGCGACCATCGCGGCGCGCATCTCGCCAGGGGCGAAGCTTCGCCGCCCAAATGCCGCCAGGAGGGCCTCGACCTACTCCCGCCATCAGCCGCCCCCGAAGCTGCGGCCACGCCACTGGGCCGCCGCCTTCCGCTAAAACCGCGTGGCCAGCGCTGCGGAGAGGCCGTCGCGGACGCCCCCGAAGTTCACCAGTCGCCTCTCGCCATTGGAGGCCTCGTCGCAGGCGCACGCGACCCCCTCGGGGCTGACATGGGAGAAGGGCCCCAAGGCGCCGCAGCCGATGGAATCAAGGATATGTAGATGAGGCCTGAGACCACGCCCCGCACCTGGCGCCAGCTGGCAGCGGGCGCTGCAGCGAAGACTCGCCCCCTGGCCTGGGCCCACGTCTGCCGGGCACGGCGTCGCAGCCGGCCGATGGGCGCGACGACGTCGAACCGACACTTAACGACCTCCAGGGTCACCGAGAAAGCGGGGCCCGCGCCCCCCATCTCGGGCGCTGGACGCGAGGCAGCGGCCCGCCGCGCGGCCAGGCTGCATGACCCCGAGCGCGCGCCGCGCCGCAGTGGGTCCCACCTGCCTCTGCCTGAGTCGATTTCGCGCGCGCGCTGCCTGCTAAATTTCCCCGCCCTTTGCTGCTGCCTACTGGCCCGCATCCGTCGTTTCCCTTTCTTTCTGCAGCGGGGAGGGGGAGGAGGAGGAGGAGGAGGAGGAGGAGGAGGAGGAGGAGGAGGAGGAGGAGGAGGAGGAGAGGAGGAGGAGGAGGAGAGGAGGAGGAGGAGGAGGAGGAGGAGGAGGAGGAGGAGGAGGAGGAGAAGGAGGAGGAGGAGGAAGACGAGGCGGCCCGCACCTGCAGGGCTGGCAGAGGCGCACCTGCTGGCAGGCCGAGGAGAGACGCACGGGCCGCGCGGGGACCCAGGCTACCTCTTTAGGGCGACGACATCTACTACGTTGGAAGATGAAGGCATGTGCGTGCGCTGGCAAAGCGGCACTGCCTGGACCACTTCTTAGCCAACCCCACGAGGAACCGGACAACCCCGCCAGACGCCCCCCCCTGGACAATCCTCGCCGGAGTTTGTTTCATGCAACATAGTACACAGGTCTACTGCTCCCTGGCCAGGCCCATCCTGAACCAAGCAGCGGTACGCGCTCGCAACTGGCCGCCGCGAGATGGGCGCAGCGAGTGCGCGAAGAGGCGGGCGACTGCCCCCCACCTAACACCCGCTGGGTCGCAGGTGGGTCGTAGGAGGGGTGGTGTCGTAGGTGGGTCGCAGGTGGTCGCAGGATGGCAAGTGCGTCGACGTTCAGCATCGCTGGACCGTAGGTGGGATGGTGCCGTTTGGCTTCTGGCCCAACATGAGACCAGCACGATCCACCACCACTCGTCCTCCTCGTCCTCCTCCTCATCCTCCTCCAGCCGCTCTAGCGGTCAAGACCCCCCTACACAGACACACACACACACACACACACACACACACACGCTCGCACGCACGCACGCACGCACGCACGCACGCACGCACGCACGCGGTTACCAGGCATGTCAGGGGTGTACTGTACGTGGTGCAGCGGGATGGTCTCTTTTATATCTTTCTCTCTCTCTCTCTGCCTCTCTTTCCCTCTCTCGGGCCTGCTTCCCCCGTGCAGAGAGGAGCGGCGCGCGCCGCCCCGCTGACGGGACGGCTGCTTCTCGCCATGGCCGCCCTGGAGATGGACTCTGGCCAGGGCGCCGCTCCGGGCGCCGCCGCTCCTCCACCGCAGCGCGTCCGCAGGTGCACCTCGGGCCCCGCGTTCTCCTCGCCGGAGCTACTCGGGCTTCTCGAAGACTTCTTGGAGGCCAGGAAATTCGCACCGACACCAGCACATGAGGTTGCCTCCACATGGGAAAGATGATCCTAGATTTCGGTGTTGGTGGTAATATTTCGGTTACCTTGGAAGCCAGAATATTACCACCATCATCGAGATCGGGACCTCCATCCCTCGGTGGAGGAACACCGCCGATATCGGTGTTGGTGTCAACCTCTAGGCCTGCGAACTTCGGGGGAGCTCGCCAACACAAGTGCGGTTTGACCTCCAGGGGCGTGTCGGCGCCAGTCGGCAGAGACGGGACATGGCCTATTCGCGCACGAGCAGCACTGGGAGGTCTCGTTCGGCTGGTCTCGCGCGCCCAACGAGAGCTGCGGCGTCAGCATCTCTTTACACCGTGAGAGTCTGCCTCGGAACTGTTTGCGGAGAAAAAATATACACTCCTCCAGCCCGCCTAGCGGGCAGTGTGGAGCAGATCGCCCGAAGTCCGGTCCGGTCGTCGTGCCGCCGCTCGACCAGAGACTCATATTCCTCGGCCCTTCAGGCGATGATCGAGCGGACGCGCACACTGATCCGGTGCGTGGGGGCCGGATGCAAGCCGATCGTAGGAGCCGACCTCAACAACAAGCTAGGATTCTCCAACGAGGATCGCTTCGAGGGAGAACTCACGATCGGCTTCGACACCAACGCTGAGGACGAGGATGCCGCCGTCGGCCTGATCGCAGCGGAGGAGGAGAGTCTCGCAAGACGGCTTTGGCATCAGTGCCTGCGCGACTGCAAGATGATGGCAGCCAACACTTTCTTCCCCGCGGGGGGGGCACCTTCGTCGGCACGAGAGGCCACAGCTCGCGCATCGATTTCGCTCATGTATCAATTTCAAGAGCCTCCCTGGCGCTGGACGTCGGCTTCAGGCAATTAACACCCTGGATGACCGAGACCACAGACCCCTCTACCTCGAGCTTCGGTACACCTTCGAGGCCACCGACCATCGGCGTCACACTTGGGATTATCACAGGATCACGAGTAGGTGTCGCAATGCTATCGAGACTCTTCAGCAGTCTGTTCCTGATATCCAGGAGGAGAATTCATTGATTTATCTATGCCGTCGCCCGACCATAGACGAGATTTGGAACACGGTCGCATCGCAGCTGACTCAAATGGCGAAGACCGAGTTCGAAAAACCCACAGCCCTCGCACAGGCGCAATCACATTGAGAAGCACAATGTTCACGACTCCTTGACCGGCGCAGACAACTTCGGCAAGAGACTGGAGAGGAACACCTAGATCGCGAGGAGATCGAGCTTACGTTATCCCGTCTTGATTGAGAGAGGAGATCTGAGGAGATCGAACACCCAGATCGCGAGGAGATCCGTCGCCTTCAGGGACATCACGATTGAAAAGATCGCCTCTCTCACAGCAGAGTGGAGCACAGCCTGAGCGCAGCACACGCTCTTGACACTGCTCACAACGCCCGGATCGACGACTGGCCCGCAGGAGCCGTGGCCCCCTTCAACCGCCGATGCCCCGCCGCGCGAAAAGAAATGAATTGCGAGGCAGAGGAGATCACGGCATGCTTGAAGAGGCTTGCGACCGACGGCGGGCTGTGGGCCGTCGAGTGCGACGGTAGGGGGAAACAATCAGTGGACACCCCCCTGCTCCCCCAAAGCCGAAGTTGGCACGCGCGAGGGAGACTGCGGTCGAAGTGCAAATTATCTGACCCACCGCTAACTTCGAACATTGGGGGGAGGCGGAGGCGTTGACCGATGAATGTGGCATGCGTGTTCGCGATTGTCGTTCCGAGGCCTGGATATCACCCGAGAGTTGGAGGCGCGCTTCGACACGCAGCACAAAAGAGATGGGGCGGTACGTACAGGCCTGCAGAGGTATGACACCACGCAGTTTGCGAAGCTCGAACAGGCTCAACACGAGTTGAATGGCATCACTAGAAAAGTTCGACGATCTCCGAAACGACGGGCCACGCCTAGATGGTCTCTGCCTTCTTGAACTGTGGCTGCGTTTACTCGACGAGAAGCAGTGGACGAACTTCGATCGAGGTCTGGGAGCTGATCCAAGACCGACTACTGCTCGGGGTTTTGTGGAGAGATTTCTGGATATGTTGGCAAGCTGCTGGCGATCGATGACTACCCCACATCCGTTCGTCTTGCGTGGTCTTGGGCAAGCGCACTGAAAAGAAAGGCCCTGCGGGGCAACGTTGGATACACCTCCTCTGCCCCATCGGCAAGTCTTAGAACGCCTGCCTGCAGCACCGTGGTCGCACCTTGCTATTGCCACGACTTCGGACGGCATCGACGCCGAGAGGACGATCTGGGTGCAAGCATGCGTCTCGTGGCGGCTTCAGCGTCAAGGCCTCTCGCACGCCATCAATAACGAGGACGCTACAAACGAATTCGCCAGTGTAAAAAGAGAGATCATCTTAGACATCATCGGAGACTTGTACGATCCAGAGGACCTCAGCTGTCAGCACTCTCGGACTCTCCAAAAGGCATTCCAGATCGAGTCGAGACGCACTCGGGACCCTTGGCTCCCAGACCCTCCACAGGGGAGAGCCCCGCCAGAGCCTTCCCGTACTGTTGTGAGGAAGGGGTTGAACCGTTCATGGCTTCTCGACACCACACTGGTTCGGCCAGTGTGCGCTCGCCTGCGATCGGAGGCGAGCGCAGGGGCGGGCCTTCTCAGAAGACTCGGAAGTCCCCCGGGCTTCCGAGAAGTCCCGCCGCCTCCTGAGATGGCCGTCTCCTTCTCGCGTCCCCCCTCGCTCGCCACCGAAGCGAGCCTGATGACCAGCCCACGGACGTAGGGATTGCCATCTACGCTGACGGCATTGCTAAACATGTCATGCCAGGCCGGGGGGCCACCACCGCATCCATGAGGAGGAGAGGCGGCACAGCTTTTGAGCTTAGCTTCGGCCAGCAGCCGCCCCCTGGCCAACCACTCGGGGGAGAGCGGGGCCCGCCTTCGCGACGACAAAGGAGCTAAATCTGGCGAAACTGTTCGGTCGGGGGAGCATGGGTCAGCGACGGCTTCATGTGTGGCTCCCTACGTTATCTGGGAGAGTGCGGACGTTTCTTGGGAGTCTGGGGAGGCTGGCTTACGACTTCGGGGTCTCTGCAGGTGGAGCGTTCTAAGACGCTCAAGGATGGACGCACGGGCTCAGGACTCCGTTCTAACTTTTGTTTATGCACGACGCCACCACGAAAATGTAAAAGATGTTCGCTTTCGCGCGATCGGACATCCTATCATGCATGAATGGACGCAGACCTGATGCATCATACTCCTCAGCTTCGGATGATACTATGCTTCGTGCTCGTCGTCGGAAATCAAGGGCCTCTCTGAGCATCGCAACGAAGAACGACGTTGACGGTTGGCAAGTCTAGTGGTTCCTACAAACCACCCGTGAACTCCAGGTCCGTCGCATCAAATGGTACCAAAGCTGGGCTCGCGTCCCATCTTGCCACCGACAGGTCCGTGCAGCCATTCTGGGAGGTCTCGGGGACGACGACTCGATCGGCGAAAACTCGACCCTCCACCCCAACGCGAACCCGTGGGCGAAACAACTTTACAACGACCAGCAGTTCGTCTACAAGAGCTCGGAGTAGTTCCAGGAGTTGGTGCCCGTCGGTTTCCTCTTTTCTGTTTGATTGTGATGGGTATTCGGCATGGGTGGATATTGATTTCATGGTGATTCGAGCGAGCTTCTTCTCCACTTCGATCCTAGCCTCATCCGACACGATCGAGCCGACCAGCGTTCTGGATGAGAAGGCGGAGGTGGAGGATGATTGACCTCGCCCGTTTGAATGTAAGATGAATTTGGAAGATGGTCGACGTTGTGGTGAACTTGCTGCCGCATGAAAATCCTGTTCCTGCACGCGGGTCGGGTTCATCGGGTTCGAATCGAAGCTTCCCTTCTGACGGTCACGACCAGTGTTTCAGATACCTTCAGACTCTCAGCTCCAGTGAAGAGGCACAGCTGCAGGCGACGCAATCTCACCAGAAGATCCTCTGCTACCACTGCTGCAGCTCTTATGGAGCCCATGAGACCATCACTCCAGCGAGTCTGGGATGCCCGATCTGCAGGTTCACGGCTCGAACTTTACTGGACCTCCAGATACAGATTCGGCGATGGACAGAACCCCCTTCGGTAAAACGTGGCTTAGTGAAAACGATCTCGGGCCCAAACCTGGCGGGCGCAGGCCTGGAAAATGACGGCCGCGGCGCCCTCTCGAGAACCGACAACGGACGATTCACTGCTCGACGTGTCAGGGTTGGAGGTCTGTCCACCCCCGACAGATTCGAAGCCATTTCGGGAGCGGCCAAGAGGGGGGTGTCCAAGAGGGGGGGGTGCAAATCATGACCGGCGGCATGTGCGCGGCCCAGCGGGGGGGCCAGGGACGTAGTGAAACAAGAAGAGGCGCCATGAGATCTGGGGAAATATCATGGCCCGCGCCATGATATCCACCCCCCCCTAGTCATCACCCCCCTCTTTTCCGCCCCCGACCATTGTGCCCTCCCACCTGCACGCATCGTCCGGGCACTCGGCGCCAGCGCACCTCTGGCGCCCTCCAAGGCTCTCGGGCGGGAGGGGCCGCCCCCGCCCACCCTCCGGCGCGCGCGCGGGGCCTGCGGTGTGCACGTCGCAGATGCCGTCCAGCGTCCACATGACGTCTGGGCCTGGCGCGGGCTCCGGTGCGGGCGCCAAGACTGTACACCACCACCAGCACCTTCATCACCCCTCCCCTCCTCCAGCCTCGTCTTCCACTCCACCTTCCTACGAGAGGGAGGGGGGCGTGAGAGACGCGGTGCTGGTGTATAGTATTGGGCCACGTATCTGGCGCAAGGGGTCGCGCGCACGTCCACCAGCCACTGCAGTCTCGGGGATCTACTGACCCGGATCAATCCAGACCCGGGTCAGTCAGATCCTGCAGGATCCTGCAAGATCCTGCACCCAAATCTGGGTCAGTGCGCCCCCGGCTCTGCAGGATCCTGCAAGATCTGGCGCTCTGACTGACCCGCTCTTGCATTGACCCCCGTCTCAAGGCTCCCGACGGTCTCCTCCTCTTGCTCCTCCAGCCGTCAGGCCTCCGAGATGTCGACCCCGGGGAAGGGAATCCTCGGGATGCCCACCCACGAAGCACCAAAAGGCAGGACAGGGCACGGAGAGGCGGCGGGCGACGACGAAGACGACGACGACGAAGGGGGCCGAGGAGGACGAAGAAAACGGAGACGAGGGGCGACGAGGACAAGGAGGACGACGACGACGCCGACGAGGCTGATGACGAAGGCCGCGGCGACAGCGACGACGAAGACCACGGCGGCGACAGCCCGAGAGCCCCTGGCTGAGGCCAGCAATCGCTCCGCATCCCCTCGCGGCCACCCCGCCTGCCGCCAGACCCTGGAACGAGCGGGACCGCCCAGGACTCCGCAAAGGGGGGTGGGGCCGAGGTAAAAGAAATCGGGGAAGGCCGATGGCGCGAGGCATCCAGGATCGAGGATTCGAATCCCACCAGCCCCCTGGGCGTAGATAGAACACCCTCCCACACTCGACTGGCCGCCAAGCCGAAACCATGCCAACCCCCACCCACCCACCCACCCCTGTAAAATAGATACGCAATACACTTTGAGGAAAAACTACTGAAACATGCGCGGGCTCCCCGCGATCATGTTTCATTGTTCCCTTTTCATGGTTTTCCCAAGGCGTCTCCCTTGCTTGCAAAAGAAGCCCGTGGGTGCGTGGTCCTTCGCCCCTGGCTTTGCTCAGGGTTGCCCAGGATTGTCCAGGGTTGCCTGGGGTTGCACGGGCGGCCCCCTGCGTTGCTCAGGGTTGCCCAGCATTGTCAAGCAATGCCAAGTAATGCCAATAAATGCCAAGCAACGTCAAGCAACACAAAGCAACGCTAAGCAATGCCAAGCAACCAGTCCAGGCAATGCAAAGCAATACCAAGCAATGCCAAACAATACCAAGCAATGCCAAGCGACGCGAAGTCATGTCAAGCAATACCTAGCAATGCCAGGCCATGCCAAGCAACGCCAAGCAATGCCAAGCAATGCCAAGCAATGCTTTGCATCGCATTGCGATGCATTGCTCAGAACTGTTTTGAATTGCTTTGGGGTCGCGCTGGCTTCGTCTATCGACAGGGACGGCAGGGGGGTCGGCATGTTGTCCGCTGTGCGCAGGCCCACCATCCCTGCAAAAAACACTTCGACGGGGTTGCGGGTGCACATGCCACTTGCCATGACGGCCACCCCGCCGCCATGTTTACATTGGCTTTTGAGACGGATGGTGGTCGACGTGTTTCCTGATGTGTGCTGCACTGGCGCACCTCGCAAATTCTGATCGCGTCGCGCACCTGCGCGGCTGGAGCACGTGGAACACGATGGCGCATGGGACCTCAGGCGCGGTCGGCAGGTGGTGCCAGTTACGAACGAACTTAGTCGAACGCGCGATGATAAAAACGCCCAGTCACCGTAGTGCACATTGGTGGTGAGCAGAGCACGAGGCGCTGCAAATCCAAAGTGCAACGGCCAACGAAACGAGGAGCCAATCGATTCGTATAAGTTGAAGCGCCAGCAGCAATCTGGTGCGAATTGGCCACTGGATCATCGGAGGGATGTTAAACAGTGAAGACAAAATACAAAACCGGTGTAACGCTGCCAGACCATCCGAATGAAAAGTTGATCTGAAGAAGCGACGCCCTGGCGAAACTGATGGGTAGCGTGCTAGCTTACGAACCGGCGACGCCAGATGCATAACCAAAATGGGTGCAGTGCTAGATCGGTGGTGGCGGAGCAACACGCGCCACCAAAGCAGACAAATGCCAGTGACACGCCCAAACAGGCCTAACACATGCTGCAATAGAGGCGCCGTCCAAAATAGATTGGTAGGGTACCACTCGAGCAACGGAAGTAGAGACGCGAATTGCCCTGTACGCACCGCCGTCTAGGTCGCCACCAAATCGACCGAGGACGTCTCAAACAAGACGCGGAAGGCGCCGCGACGCTCGCAGAAGGCCCAGTTGAATAGCCTACGCCGAGCCTGAAGGAATGCATCACATGCAGGACAGGCCTCGGCGGTGGCAAACGCAACATCACCACAGGAGGCGCCCGTCCACACACACACACACATACACACACACACACACACTCAAACACACACTTGTTGCGTCGGCGGCTAGGCAGAGTCACTGCGCTGGCGGAGAGACACACACACACACACATCAGCCCGCTGCCGACAGAAGGAGGGCGCACGGCCCCGCTGGGGCTTGGCGCGGGCGGGGGCCCCCGCCTCATTCCTGTTTTCCCTGTCACCCTCCTGCTCCTGCTCCTGCTCTCCTCCTCCTGCTCCTCCTCCTCCTGCTCCTCCTCCTCCTGCTCCTCCTCCTCCTCCTCCTCGTCCTCCTCCTCCTCCTCCTGCTCCTCCTCCTCCTCTCCTCGTTCGCCTCCGGCGCTCGCACGTTCGCCTCCGGCGCTCGCACGGAAGGAGCGACGGCGGCGGCCGCCAACGCTCCGCCCTGGCGGCGCGGAGGGCGGAGCGAGGAGAGCAGGAGTCGCGGGGGCCGCGGGGCCTGCTGACCAGTTGACCTCCTCCTCCTCCTCCTCCTCCTCCTCCTCCTCCTCCTCCTCCTCCTCCTCCTTCCTCCTCCTCCTCCTCCTCCTCCTCCTCCTCCTCTAGTAATCCTACTCCTCCTCCTCCTCCTCCTCCTCATCCTAGTCCTCCTCCTCCCCCTCCCCCTCGTCGATCATCTTCCTCCCCCCCACGATCCTCCTCGGCATTGTCGCCGCCGCTCCGAGACGGCAGGAGAGCGCGGGCCGCGGGGGGCGGGCCTGCTGACCAGTTCCGGTGCGAGAAGAGCGACGCTGGGGCGGAGAGGGTGCACGAGGCCACTCCCCTGGCGCGGCGAGGCGGGCGGGGCCCAGACCCGCTCGCGTCGTGAAGACAATCCCGGCGAGGTGCCCAGCCACGTGCAGGTGAGAGCGCCGCAAGACGGGCAAGACGAAGGAAGGACGGGCTCCCTGTAGGGCAGTAAACGTGCGAGGGGTGTGCCATGAGCGGGGAGGCGCCATGCGAACCCCCGGGCCTGGGACCTTCGGTGGAGTTCCCTATGAAGCCACCAAACGTTTGGGGGGGTCGCCGAAGTGGGCGAGGCGGCGCCATGCGAACCCTGCCACTGGGGCACTCGGTGGAGCGCTCCTAAGGGGTAACGAAACGTGTGAGGGCTGCACCGAGGTAGGTATGCGGAGGGTAGAGGCAAGGAGGAGAAGAGGGATAAGGAGGCAGCGGGAGGAAGGAGTGGACGCGGGGTGCTGCCTCTGCGAAACAAAGACCCAAGACCACAGGGTGTTGAAAAATTATCCCAGTGCGACCCTACCTAGGAGTTGGAACCCCTAGGAAAGCAGCATTAGTAGTAACAGTAACGCTAAGCTAAAGCTAAGCTAAAGCTAAGCTAAAGCTAAGCTAAAGCTAAGCCACAGCTAAGCTAAAGCTAAGCTAAAGCTAAGCTAAAGCTAAGCTAAAGCTAAGCTAAAGCTAAGCTAAAGCTAAGCTAAGCTAAGCTCAAGCTAAGCTAAAGCTAAGCTAAAGCTAAGCTAAAGCTAAGCTAAAGCTAAGCTAAACGCTAAGCGAAAAGCTAAGCGAAACGCTAAGCTAAAGCTAAGCTACAGCTAAGCTAAAGCTAAGCTAAAGCTAAGCTAGCTAAAGCTAAAGCTAAAGCTCCCAGGGGACTGGGGGGAACCGCTCCCAGGGGACTGGGGGAACCGCCCGGGGCGCTTTACACTGCCCGGCCCCTTTAAGCTAAGAGAGTAAGAACCCTTCTAGGCAGAGCCTAGGTAGGGAAAAACATAAAGCGGAAAACCTTCCGTGGTGAAAAAACACAACCGAAGGCTGGCTGTTCGCAATGTTTGACTCCGTGGGGGCCTCACTGGGCCTCGGGGCCGTCAGACACGGGCGCGGGACACAAGGCCAGTCTCCGGGAGGGGACCCAGACCTCTGGGGGCCCACGTCAAGAGACAGTTACGACGTCGGGGGTCTGGGGAGTGTACGGAGCGGGCGGGGGGAGGACGAGGACGGGGGAGGGGGAGCGAGAGGGGAGGAGTTGGGGCTGATGAGGGGAAGAACGTCTGAAGCAGGCGCAGCGTCGGCCTGGCTGGCCCGGCGAGCGCACATCGAGAGCGCGAGCTGTCTCCGCGAAATTCCTGGGGATGAAGGGCTCTCGATGATCATGGGTGTAGGGGGGGGTCCCCTCCAACACCTGCAGACGATAAATCTCCTTCTAGTGCTGGACAGCGCCAACTGCACGTACTCGGGATCACGAGCTTGACAAGCCCCGTCGTTCCCATTCACATGTCTTTTCGGGGGCGGGTTGGGATGTACTCAACATGGCCTCACCTTGAAAGGCCTGGGGTAATTATTGAAATGAAGAGATTCCCAGGAGCAGATTATACCT